TCGAGGGAGAGAAGCTGCTCCTGCTCCCACCCGCTACTCCCAAATCCATCACCGGTCCCCAGAGCATGGCGACAGCCACATACTGGGGGAAGGTTTCCCCCCTGCTCACGTCCAGCAGACCTCAGGTCTCGCCTCCTCCTTGCCTGCCCTGAGCCCCAGCAGCCACTGCGAGCCTCAGCCGGCTGAGAGCATCAGCGAGGCACCAGGCACAGTTCTCCCACTCCAGAGGCTCCCACCACGACGGGAACTTGTTGCCAGCTCAAGTTTCAAAAGTACTGATGGCTGTTATACACACTATATTGGAAAAAAAGAAAAAAAAAAAAATCAGCAGCAACTATCCGGGCTGAAGTACAAGCTAATTGCAACCACCAAGAGGTTCCAGCAGGAGCCCGGGCTTTATGCAGATGACACACGCAGACATGTCAGCCCTGCCGAGCGCGGGGAAACGACAGCATCCACGTTACCATGGCTCTGGAGATTTACAGGCTTTCCCACAGCAAAGATGAAAATAAACCCCCAAACCCTTCTGAGCTCAGATTCGCCTTCCCGCTCAGCAGGGAATTTGTATTGTCAAGGCGGGATCTGCTCTTCAACAGCATCACTTCCCAGGGAGACCATGCATGTCCCAGCAATAGGGCTAGCTGGGCTCCAGACTGCAAAGACCCCAACTTTCAGACCCCAGCAGAGAGAGGAGGACCTGGGAAACCTCCCTCCCTGCCCTAGGAAGGGCTGCTGTAACCTCGGCTAGGAAAGCCTACGCAGAACGACGGAGCCTCTGCATGCTTCGGGGCGGGACAGCCGCCGCGTTGCCGGTGAGGTTTGACTCCGGAGTTAGGTTCACGCGGGGCAGAGGGGGATGCAACTGTACAGCTGCATGGCACAAAAGCACCAGAAGTCTTTGGCAATGCCAGGGGAGCCCTGCCACCCCACAACACCTCCTTGAACCCCCTTCCCCGGTCTCTAGACCAAGGCTCGAGCCCTACGCCAAGCCACGGGAAAGGCACATTTCGCCTTCACGCAAGTCCTGTGCTGCACCTGGACCCTCCACGCTCGCAGAGGAGCAAACCCTTCGCCCAGGCCCCCAGCTGCTCTCTCCAGCAGGATCCGCTGAGCTCCGCCGGGCTGCATCGGCCCCTCGTGCCTCGACCCGAGCAGGCGGAGAGACCCCGGGAGCTGGGCGAAGCCACCGGCGTTCGCCATCCCG